TGCATACTACTTGGATGTAAAATAGTTGCCACCATGGCAGCTGTCTACCTTTGTGAAGCAGGAAAACGACTAACACAAATGGAATCCAGTAGAACTTTTTATTACCTAACCTGAATCGAGTGACAATAGTTGAATAAACTCTCTGGCTCTCAAAATGGTATCGGTGCCAATTTGTCGGTACTCGCTGCTACGAAACCACCATCTTAGTGAAGTATCGGGGCCCCGGCCAATACTGGTATCAGTGCAACACTGATATATATTACTAAGAAGAAGGATTATAATAATCAATTTTTTCTGTCATATTTCAACTTAACACTGTAAAACAAATTACTAAGAGTTTGAGCTCTTTAAATGCCATAATTATGTCTAGACAATACAGTCAAAAACCTATATCAAGATATACTTTTAAAATTTAGGTTGATATTTTAAAATCGATATGAACAAAATAGGAAATGTGACAAGAATCTCCAACAACAGAATCCTTTACAACGCACACAGTAATTTATTCACATACTTAAACCCCCCCCCCAATATACCATTTTAGAAATATTTACTTTAACAAAACCACAGAAAACCCACAATTTCATTCATGACTAAATATAATCACAGACTGCAATGTAAAGTGAAATATTAGAAATGACACATCACTGCTATTCACTAAAATTATTCTCCACGCCTAACCATCACCCCTTTCAAATACATCATTTAGCACTTTATTAATGCTCTTCCCAAAGACATGGGTTGTGGTGACATGCAGCTGATCATCTGCTAGAACACATAGCAACCTGAAGCATCATCTAAATGGGTGAAAGGTGAAAACAGGGGTGCAGCTCAACACTTTAACATTTCAATTCTGCCTGCATGTTAGGAGCAGGAAGGTGGATTCACTTAGAGATTTAATACATCAGAAAGCTGTGTCTGTCACTGCTGGTAGCTCCTGTCAGTGTAGAAGCACAGCTCTGTTCATTTCTATACAGGTCCAGAGAAACCAGCACACCTGGCTGTTCCAAGGCAGAGGCAGAGATGGGCGTACCTTCCGCTCTGCTCAGACACTTGCGTAATTCAGACCAGCCTTACTGCTCTGACTCGGTCTGGGATATTATTGGTTCTGTCTAGTAAGGAAACCCGTTATATGATATGATCTCAATACAGACAAGCAACAATTAGACCGGATCTATGGTAGTATGGCAGTAATTGGTTTGGTTTTATTTGTTTTGATTGTTTTTTTTTGTGACCTGGGCCCCTGCCAGCGTTGCCTCTTAGGTTGGCCCAGCCCAACCCTGCCCCGTTTCGGCCTGCTGCACTGACCGGCTCCTGGTCAGTGCTGAGCGACATCCAGGATAAGCTATTCTGTGCTAACATGGCATTTGGAGCCACGGAGAGAGGAAGATCGTAGCCTATACCGGGGCCTGTGCATGCAGGGGAAGAAAAAAGGGGGCAGTTTGTAGGATTACAGAAAGGTGTACTCACTGCTGACTTTCATGCTGCCGAAAGCAGAGGGCTGCGGCACTGGTTTGCAGCTCTCGGCGAAGGATGTGGTCCTGGGCCGACCCGACATGATCCAATCCCTTTGATTCTTTCGACTTGCTAAACGACAGGGTGGCTCGATTCGCCGAAGCTTCTCATCCAAATGCAGGATGACAGTAAAATTAATATCTTAGTGTCTCAGAAGAAGGGCACAGGCAAAAAGAGAGCCCGTTAACAAACTGGTTTATAACCACAAAATAAAACTGTCCTATATTTCCCCGACGACGGGCAATCAGAGCATTATTTATCTGCTTTATAGTCCAGCTTTCCTTTCAGCGGGCCTCACAAGACACGTCTCCGACTGAAATAGTGGTGAATTTGGCCTCTCTATGTGGCCACCTTGTTTGCTAAAACGTCTTTTTCTGTGTGGTTTCCACGAATGCGAATAGTAGTTGGCTCGGTTGTCAAATCCAGAGGCAAAACGAGTCAATTCAGGGGGGGCATTCAGCTCCTCTTCATATCCCGATGTGGAGCCTCAATGATCCGACTGCCATGGCGGCTCCCTCACTATACCAGAGCCTACAGATCCTCCAACGGAAAACCTGCCGTCGCGACAGTCTTTGTGCGGCTAATTTACACCCTTCGGGCTGGTGCTCGCTCCCGGCTTTGCCTTAGTCAAATTTCGGCGTCTGTATCTCGTTCCTTAAGCGGCGAGCCTCTCAAAAACGATGGTCTAAAGATACAGAGTGCGACGATACCGAATGTCTTTTTTTACTCCTTCCCCATAGGTTTCAGGCTCGCAGTCTTTGTCGGTGCGTACGTTACGTACGCAATATTCGTAAAGAAACGATCGTCTATAGAAAGGAGTTGACCCAGGCGACGTAACTCGCGATTCTGAATACCAAAAAACGTGAATACGCATACGCTGGATCTGGGGTGGTGAGCTCAGCCAATCAGAGACGGTATCCTTCAAATGGGCGTTAACCGTGTGTTTGTGGCCCAATAGGAATGCAGATCTTTAACACCACATGGCACAATTTGCTAGCTGCCCTCCCTCAAGACTTCAAAGGCTTCTGCCAGGGCCATGACGGGGACAATGGGCGGTGTTTTCAACAGGATTGATTAATTTTCCGACCAATGCAGCTTTAAAACCAGATTGTCAGTCCACCTCCTCCTCCAGCTGTCACTGAGCACCGGTGGTCATGCAGCACTGTTGCTATGTTAGTCACAAAATCCTACTCTCTGCCATTTGTGGACACCTTTTTAAACGCTCCAATGGCTACTCCAATTAATTATTTTCAGTCCCATGTGATTACAATTAATAGTGGACACATGTGCATGTCTGTCAGTGTAATTCAGCTGTTTTAGATTCTTTTGCACCAGTTTTAATTATATGTAATTGTGAGAATATTATATGTAAATATCAAATCAATAAACTATATTGAATGTGTTGATTTGCATTATTATTTTATAATATAATATAAATATGTCTGGCAAATAAACTGAAAAAATAAAAAAATCTCATATTTGATTATTTTAGCTTATTTAACACAGTTTCAGTATCACCTGCTGGATACATATACTCTTTGAAGCTAAATAGCGCCAGGGAAAGTTTCTCAGACAATGTTTAGCTTCATGCAATCATGCAATCATGCAATCATGCAGTTATATAACCTCACCTATTTTCTGCATGGTTGTGGTGCAGGGGTAGAATGTGTGAACCATGTTTGACAACCTTAGACCTTGATGTGACCATCAGAGTTTTGTGTCCTGGCCCATGAACTTTTGCAGCATAGCTTCCCCTCTTTAACCTCCATTTACTTTACATTTTTCTGTCAAATAAAGGCTTAAAGCCCCAAACAAGAAATGTCCTCATTTTATGATTATGATAAAGGAGAACACAAATCTGTTCTTAAAGTATTCACACTAGTGGCAAATATACTGTAGATTGAAAGCAGCTTTACTTAACCAAAGTATTAGGTCCTGGTCTAAAAATGACACATATGTGTGCATGCATACTGTGTCATACTATAATGTACAATTCTGCAAAAAAAAATAGAAAAAAAAGAGGCAATTTCTTTTTTAATCACATTCTAAAATGTTAAAGAGCATTAAAAAAATTATTACATATATGAGAATCAGTAGCCAAAAGGCAAATATTCAAAGATCATGTAGATCATTAAGGCTAAATAAAAAAATAAAAAGCGCATCTTTCCATACCATATTTCCAGAGTCTTATTAGTTGATGTTTCTAGTTTTTGTCAGAAAATAACAAAATCATTGCAAAGAGTTTAATAGCACTGCTCTACAGTAAATAACTTTACGTATTTTGTAAATTGTTCTTTGTGCTAAATTACATTTAAAAAATCTATTTATCCGAAGGATTTTATATGGTTTGCCTTGAAGGTTATTAATACCAGAAATACATCCTTATCTATCTTTTTTGCCTTAAATATAAAATCAGGTAACTAAAGTTATTTTTTTTAAATCAATGTTTCCATTAACCTATTAAAAATTATTTTTATTAATTGTATCCTATGAGAAGAGCAAAGTATCTTATTGAAAAATGTTTTAATTTTTACACACACACTCACAGAATGCCAGTTGCTTTTTCTTTCTTTCTGCTGCCTTTATGTCGGCAGTGTATCTTTTGTGTGATCTATTTATACTTTGTTGTGTTATATATCAAAGGGAGTTTCTCTAAGGCTGTCCTTCAGTGATGTGCGTACAGCAAGATTTTAAATACAGGCAGCTGGGCAGAAGTAATCCAGGACCCTGTTTTCTCTTCACAGCAAGTCGTCCTCCTGCAGCTCACATTATTCCACAAGGGACTACCATGGAGGGGCAGACAGATCATCATAGCGATCATGCAAGACTAAGAGTAGAAACATTAGAGAGTTGATTTGAAAAAGAGGAATAAATAAAGTGGCCTGTAATTAGAGAACAGTGAAATATTCTTTCAACATATATTTGATTAAATTACTAATCTTAACTTCTTTTATTCTGATTTGGTGTAATAGACAAGCACAACATGGTGCATAATTGTGTACTGGAAAGACAAGGATATTTGTTTTTCTCATGATTCTGCCCTTTTTGGACTTTTTGGTTCTGTTTGTTTTCACTTTGGGTTTTCAGTTAGACTTTGATTTATGTATTTCTCTGTTATTTAAGTCATTAGATTCATTTCCATATTAGTGTCTGTTGTATTTCTTTTTTCTGCATGGAGTTTGCATGTTCTCCATGAGCATGCGTGGGTTCTCTCAGGGTACTCCGGCTTCCTCCCATAGTCCAAAAACCTGACTGTTAGGTTAATTGGGTTCTCTAAATTCTCCTTAGGTATGAGTGTGCGCATGAATGGTTGTTTGTCCTGTTTTATCTCTGTGTTGCCCTGCGATGGACTGGCGACCTGTCCAGGGTGTACCCCGCCTCTCGCCCTTTGACAGCTAGAGATAGGCACCAGAACCACTCGTTACTCCAACTGGGATTAAGAACAATGGAAAATAACTGAATGTATTCTTGTTTACTCTCTGTTGGCCCTTTGTGCCCATCTCCGTCCCCCTACTCCCTTCTAGATCCTTCTGTCCACACCTGCTCCCATTCAATTGATTACTCTTCTTTGTTCTGTTTGCCATAAATATTCATCCTCTGCAGTTACTGTTTGCTGGGTTTTCTTCATTCTGTCATTCCTTAGGTTTATAGTGTCTCCTAGTTTTTGGTTCCTGAGTTTCTTGTTGACCTGTTTTCGATTATGGCCTTTGTATGTTTACTTCGTCATTAAATTTTGCAGGAAATTATCTCTGCCTCTTCAGCTCTGCAATTGGGTCCTCAACAAGTATCCACTCATCTTGACAGTTTTTGAATTTTATTTGTAGAAAGAAGATTCTGAAAAGTGTGATGAGCATTTACATATTCAGATGCCCTGAGTCAATCCTTTGTAGATGCATGGCTCCAAATCTTTTGGAGTATATCCTTGTGCATTGCATATCTTCAGAATGAAACATTTGCCCATCCCTCTTTACAAATTAACTAAGTGTTTAGCCACATTTGTTGAAATTGTATGAAGATGAATCGGTGTTCATGTTTTGCCACAGATTCCTGATTATATTTACTCTGAGCCATAAGAGCTAAGGAATATGCTTGGATCTAAAATAAAGTATACTGTAGCTTTGATTGTATGTTTAGAGTCATTGTCCTGCAAGCAGGTAGAATTCAGCTGAGGTTTTTGAATCACTTTTTTGCAGCTTCTGAAATGCGATCCTTATAGGATTGCCCTGCATTTAACTCCATCCACCTGATGGTCAATTTTAACTCTTTGAACTCTGAAACTACTACCTTCACTGTTGTTGTGTTAAGTAGACAACATGCGGAATTGGTTTCCACTGGACCTACATTTTCATGTATGTCATACAGTTAAGCATTATCCCAAAACACCTTCTTACACATTCCCCATGTACTCAACATGTACTGTATAGTAGTTAGCTACCAAAAGTACTTATTTTTGCTTTCTCTCCACAAATACATCAGATATTTGGATTATATTACTAATGTTTATACTGCTGGCAGATTCTCTCTTCTCTGCTGGGGCTGTCTGTAACCATGGCTGTAATGTGGCTAAAGGGACTTGAACCATCTGCCCTAATTAATGGCTGTATTAATGAGATGATGTATGATGTATATGCTGGTAAAAAAAAAAGAAAAAAAAAAGACAAAGTACTTCGAAGCATGTTAGTAGAGTCAGACAAATTTTACTAACTTAAAAATAAACTGGGATATCCCTACTTACACAGTTAACCGAATATTAATCAGACATCAAAAACAAGCCTTGAAATAAAAGAATTACAGCATATTTCACCTGATGTATGAACTGAGAAGTTATTTTGCTAATAAGTTAATATTCTCAAATGCAGAAATCTCCTGGATAATCAAAGGAGACATTTTCTCTACATTTGCTTCTTCATTGCCAGGTAAAGTTTATTTCCATGTCATATCTTGCCTTATTTTTTATATCCTTAACAAACTGTGAGTTCTGAAGCTTTTAAAGACATTTCAAACATTTTGTCCTCAACACTCATGGTCATTCTATTATAAAACTAGAAGCCAGCAAATTGATTAAGTTAGCTTTGTGTTTCCACCTGCTGTGTTTGGATCCTTAAAAAAAACACAAAAAAACATTTTATATATATATATATATTATTTTACAACATAAAATTTATAAATAAATTAAAATAAGTTCAGTGTTTACACAATTATTAACTGAATCTGTAATAATCTGCAAAATAATCTAATACATTTTTTATCCGTATTGGGACAATTGTGAAGAGACACTTATGTGATCCTACTTATTTATATTCATACAAAAATAACTTATAGAAATTTCATAAGATAAAAACAATTTGCACTCTTGAACAAAAAAGTCTGATAAATCTACAATTCTTAATTTCTTAAAAGTGACAGAATTTGACATCATAATTTTCTTCATATAAAAATATAAAAAAAAATGTCTTACTGAAATTAACGCTATGTTGTCGTGCAGTACAACATTCTATTATCTTAAAATGCAATAATCATTGAGTCTGGGGCTTTAGAAGCAAGTATTGTGCTAAAAAAATATTTGCTTTTGTTGCACAAAATGGTCCAAATCATTGAGCATCTTAGGTAGGGTAAACATTTAATGGCCATCATCGCCACCAAGATCACCCTGCAAACCAGTTATTAGATTGCTAATCATTTTTTTCCACAGGGCAAAGTTAATTTGGACGGTTTGTTTTCTTTGATAAATAAATTAACTATTTAAAAAAAAACACACATTCAGATTATCTTTTAATACTCGATAAATCTGTTTGATAATCTTAACCATTTAAATTTCACATAAAGAAATTCATAAGGGGGAAATAATTCTTCAAAATACTGTAAGTTCAAGTACTGTAGCTATATAAATAATATATAAAGTGCTGTAAACATTTTCTCATACTAAAGTAGGTTTGAGGTCATCTTTGAACACAACGGGTCGTGGGGGTCGGTAAAGGTCCGTATAATCCTCATATTCGCCGTCAGACGAGTCTGACGAGCTGTCTGAGCAGAGGTAGGAGTCTCGCTGCAGGCAGGAATCACAGAAGGGTCGATGGTAGTAGCAGTAATCCGTGGAGCTGCTAGAGTCTGAATCCCAGTATCCACTTGAATCTCTGATGCACCGATGGTGTTGCCTGCTGCTGCAGCTCTCTTCCACGCCATGCTGAGGCGAACAGTCCTGTCCAGCACAACGCCACAGTGGGCATCTCTCAGACCTCATAGCACAACTTGGATAGTTCTTGATTGCCTCCTCTTTATCTCTACCCCCCTCATTCTCCTCCGCTGACTTTTCTAAATCCGAGACACTGGCCTGAACATAAGAACGTGCATCAGCTGGATTCTGGTTTTCGCAGGCGTTTCGTTTTAGTCCTAAATTGGGAACATCTGAGCCTGTGTAGAAACAGGAAGGGGACAAAGTTCTCCTGGAGGTTTGGAAGCGACGCCGGCGTTTTCTCATCATGTAAGGAGAGATACTTGGGTAGTTGAATACAGAAGGTGACCGAGGGGAACAGAGGGACAGAGGGGATAATGTGTTCAGTTTGGGTTGAGAAGAGGCTGTAGATGCTTCTGTGGCTGCAGCAATGCTCAGCTCCTGGATGATCTCCTGCAGCTTCTCGCTGCTGACAAAACCAGTCAGTTTTGGATTTGCCCCCATCTGCAGTGACAGGCCACCATGACCGATGAGTTCAACCTGGGAGGGATTCAGTTTTCTATGGTTTTGAAGAGAAGTAACAAAGTGAACAGCCTCTTCTGCTGTCCTTCCAGGAAATGTAAGGGATGAAGGCTGCTTCTGCTCTCTCACTCTGGATCCTTCTATGTCTCTGCTTGCAGATTCAGCGACATCTTTCTGGGTTCCACTCGGGGGTCCGTCATCAGTGAAGGGGGAAGAAACTATGTTAAAATCCACCGAGTTTTGGACAGAGAAAGTCTCAAAAGACTTCATAGGTGCATTTAAGATATGGGGATGCAGAGTGAGATCATCAGAGGTAGCAGGAGGTAAAATTCTTGATTTTGCATCTCTTTGAGAGACAGAAGAAGAGGAGGTTCCTTCAGACTGAACCTCAGTTGCCTGTGTGGAGGAGGAGTTGAATTTTGTAGTTGAAGAATCAACATCCTGGTCCACGATAGGCTGGCTTGCTGTCATGAGCCTCAGGAGTTTATCCTTGGCATTGTTTACCTGCTCCTGAAGACTATCAATCACAGCATTCTTCTGAAAAGTGAAGAGAAATATGAAAAATTGAAACCTTTTGAAAGAGAAAAATGCTAGATATACCACACAACTGAAGAATCACACCTCAGATAGTAACTAATCCGTATCCAATCCTTGTGTTAAGATCAGGTTCCAGGTCAGGCCACTGAGCAGTGGGGCGCTTTTAGCACACAATAAAGCATTTTCTGATTCTAAAAGAGTGACTCCGCTGCCCGCTAAAGCCGTACATAGGGGTCATTAAGTTATTCAATCGATTTTATGAAGCCGCAGATTTTTTTCCTGAATGTTGTGTACCTAGATGACTAACTAGAATTGAGAAGAAGTATGTTATGAGCTGAATTAACATCAGGCTGGATCAAAACAGTGTGTAAACAGGCTAACATTAGCCAGACATTTGACCAAACTGCTCCACATGAAAAATACTACCAGCAGGAGCATAAATACAGTTTTAACAGGCTGTGTCTTTGTGTCTAGGTTATAGCTTTAGCTTCCACAATTATAGAGTTATAGTCACTTTTTAAACTCAAAGAGGGCTACCTGGTGTCAAAAGTAGATGTAGAGAAAACATCTGCTTTCTGAAAGACATTGATTTTTAAATGGGCTAATTAAAGGATAAGATAGCAATATTACATTAGACAAAGTTATACTAATGTTTCAATCTAAAGTTTTCAAAATTATATTTTGATTGCTTTGATTTAATTGACTTTATAGTGGTATTAGATTAGATTTCTAAATTACTTGTTTAAAATTTTGTGGGGGGAAAAAGAAAACACAAAAAAAATAAATTTGGATCACTATTAGGGACAAAAGATCCTGATCGGGACATCTCTCCTTAGAAGGTTTTCCTAATTGTTAAAAGTTGTTTTTCACAAGGAAAATAAGGTACCAACATTACCCCTCATCATGTAGCTGTTACATTTTTAATTTTTTCATTGTTCTGTCATTTTCTTTAAATTTCAACCTTTTTTTTTTTTTTTAGCACTTTTCAAGTATTAATAGAATCAAACCAAAGCTGTTCTCCTTACAATACGTAAGAAGGGCTCCTTTACCACTGGTTGTACCTAAATATAACCTGGATTTTTACAAAAGTTGTGTTTTAAGCCAGTTGTGCTATAAAAGTTTATGGAAAAGGTTTCATTACTTATGTTATGATACAATCAGTGAAGTGATTTTAGAGCATCATCCCAAGTGGGGTCTCGAGGGGTGCTGGTGCCTATCTCCAGCTGTCTATGGGCAAGACGCGGGGGTACACCCCGCAGGGCAACACAGAGACAAACAACCATTCACACACACACTCACACCTAAGGAGAATTTAGAGAAGCCAATTAACCAGTGTTGATGTTCTTGGAACATGGGAGGAAGCCGGAGTACCAGGAGAGAACCCACGCATGCTCAGGGAGAACATGCAAACTTCATCCAAAAAGTACCCGAGCCGGGAATCAAACCCAGAACCTTCTTCCTGCAAGGCAGCAGTACTACCCACTGCGCCACTGAGCAGCTCATCATAGACTGTCAAGATCAGTTAAATGAAAGCCCTTATTTGGAAATAACTGTGTGAATAACCAAGAACCTTGAATTCAGATACATCTCACGCACTCAGGTATGCATACACACAGAGTAAGTATTTGTATTGTCTTTTTTGTCTTTATTACAGTACAGTAATAAAGACAGTGAGAAGCACAAAAGATGGATAACCATAAGTTTTTAGTAAATTAAATAAATTAAAATATTTAGGAAAGCAAATTCTGAGTGCATGATAACTGTGTCTGAGCATCTCTTGTGGAGTAGGTAGCATGGTCATAGTCTACTGATGTAGTTGGAGCGTGACTATTGAACCTTCTAGTTCAATCCACCCTATGAGCCGCTATAGGCAGAAGAAGGAAGTTAATGCCAATTTTTCAATTAAAACCTAAAAAACAGAAGACCTCATATAGTTGTTCATGGAGCTGCATATATAAGGACCACTTTAGGTTGTCAATGCTGACTGCAGTCCACTGCTGAAAGTGCTGATAATAGGCACCGATAAACAATTATTTCAGCCCATAGTTTAGTTGAGATAAATGCATTTTACCCAGCTTTTTAGCAGAGCAAGAAACGTGGGCCTCGGTGACTTCATTTGAATAAAAAAGATCAGTGTATGAAATACTACACCACCATCTCTGTTTAAATTAACGTCTTTATGAGTAAGAAATGTGAAATTACCTCGCTCAGGAGCTTTTTCATTGAGCTGTTCTCCCCCAGCAGGAAGTAGAACTCATCCTGGCTGTACACAGACGGCTGGCTCTTACTGGGGCTGCTGAAATACTTGGCCATCTGACTCGGGTTGTTCTGATCCTCCTCAAAATGCCGCCATTGCGTCAACTGCAACAAGTCAGGTTGGATATTTGAGAGTTTTCTGATTTCAAACAACATACACTCCTGCACTTTTTTGTTCCATAACCCTCAGGTGCATTTAAAAAATGCAAAATGACTGTCTTACTGCATCCAACCTCAGCACCGATCGCACGTTGTGAGAGGCCTTGCTTATGCAGCTCAACAATCCTACCACATTCAAAGTCAGTGAGCTTTTTTGCTTTTGCCATCAGGAGGTCTTGACAGTGTAAAGACTTGACAGAAAATGTAATGGAATCCAGATTTTTGCACAGCCTTTGGCTTTTAAAGACTATGGTCTTAAACTTTTGATCAGCTGAAAAAATAATGTTTGAGTGTAAATGCAGTTTTCAGAAAATTCCCCGCTCAAAAGCTCTTGTCTCTTGCACTGATTTTTTCCTTTAACATTGTGAAGCTCTACTTTGAACCTTCTTAAGATCCAATAGTGCAAAATGCAAATTCTTGCAATTTTTTGACTGGTCTTAAGATTTTGATCAGGAGTGTATAAACTCTTCATATGAGATGTAAATCCTTTCAAGAACATCTAGGCTGTGTTATAGTGCAATGCTCATTGTCCAAAAATTTCCCCTCCCTCCCACTAAAGAGGCATTCCTTTATGTTAACGTAAACCTGCTGTTAGACTCTAAGAAAAGTCATAAACCTGTTTGCAGCAGCCGACAAAGCTTTGACTCATTAGTAGGACTTCTGTGTGAGTCATCTTCTCCTGACAGACATCGAAACCTCAGCAGTGAGTACAACAATCTCATGTCAGGTTTATTGGTTTTACCCTTAGAACAACTCATACACACTGTCATCTTTCCATCTGTTACAGTTTCTGCCTGTGGAACTGACTTTTTTTTATGACAGATGAAAAATAAAGTTTTATTGCATTTTCAGTTTTATATTGAGACTGTAAAGCAAATGAAATACAAGACAGGGTAATAAATCTAATAAGTGAATTATTCTAAATAATCTTTTCTTGAAATTGATTACAATCCATGTTTTGATAGTAAAGTCATGCATCTGTTGGGTCTGACCTGCGGCACAAACAGCATGCAGTTAGTGGCCAGTGTGCAGATGAAGATGGCTCCAGCCACAGTGCTGTAGACCAGGTTGGTCCAGGTGTGCAGGTAGACGAACACAGGGACGGCCACAGCGGAGGAGAGGGTAACCAGAGTGACGGCCGTTATGATAGTGGGAGACTGGTTGACTGGAGGATGGCTGACATTGCTGGTGAGCCCAGCCAGGTAAGTGCCATACAGGAGAAGACAACCCTGGATAAAGAGGGGTAGACGTTAAAGAAAAATTGTCTACTTTGTGTGTTTGTTGACTCAGATTTAGCTCTAAACTATGTGGAAACAGTATAAACTATAGATGTTGTATATATGTAATACATCTTATTTAATTAAATAATATCTGATTTGCACATTTATTGTAACTTTAAAAATAAACACTATAATGTAGATTGACAGGAAAGTTTTTAGCAATAACCCCAAATATATTTTAAGAGGTTTAGTACAAATGTATTGATTTTCATAATATTTCAGTGCAAGTAAGGATAATTGCTGCGAACCTAATTTTATTGGTGAGGATATTTCTATTCTAAAAGTAACGATGCAGATAAGGTGCAATCTTGACAGCTGATCCGCATTTCAGAAAGTAACACCTCACAAAGATTTTCTTTTTTTTGTTTTTCAACTTTAAGATAATTATTATTTAAGACCCTAAAACATTTGTTTTTAGTAGTGGATCTCAGACCTTATACTTTTATTGTCACCCTTGGTGAAGATGTTTAAAAAGTCTTGAGATCAAGCGTCTTTTATTTCATTGACATAAGCTCCCACTGAAATATCCACACAAAATTTAAGGAACATATTATTTTTTTTGTTTTAATAAATCATCAGTGCCACACTTTGTAGGACAGTCAAAAAATATGGATGACCAGAACTCAGTGGTTCTTTAGATTTTATAAGGGCAAGACCACATTTTGGCTACTTGCTGTCATCTGCTTTAGCATGTGGTTGAAATGTGTTTTTGCCCTCATTAAATTTAAAAAGAATCACTGACTTCTAGTTGGTATTACTCTTAAATCGGTATCCATGCATTTCACTCTATTTACTCAATGAAGTTGGGCAAACTTCTCTTCTCCCTTCATTAGTCTAGAAACTGTTATTAGACAATGCATGACTTCCTGTTCCCAGCTCTATAAATTTGAAAAAGACGACCATGGTATTGTTCCATATAAAAAATGTGCCATTTAAAAAGACAGGCAGCTGTGGATTTTCATAGATCGGGAAAAATCAACAACAACATAGCTACTTGTCTATACTGGCTCTCCATTATGAGCAACAATAAAAAAAAAATGCAAGGCTGAATGGTGACCTGTTTAGTCTGTTTCCACCATGAACTGTGAAAAATATTGTATTTGAGGTTTTAAACAATATTCTAAGTGACGTTCAAAAACTCTATCCATTTTAGGGCATGTTTCAGCATTTGAAGATGACTTTTCACATCTTTACCAAAGATGCCAATGATTGTGGCGGGACCTTTTCAAGTTAGCTTTGGTATGGGGATTTTTCTGCCCATATTCACTTTACCTCTTTATTTCTGCTATTTCAAGTCAGTGAGAAGAAGCCCTCTGGATATACTAATCTATCTCAGAGAAATTTAACATTTGTTCTCTCCAGACTTGTCATGATCTTGGCACTGATGGCAGGCTTTCATTCACCTGTCTAGCTCTGCCTTGTTTCTCATCACTGCTCATCTCTTCCACCTGCTCCTGCTTATATTTAAACTCCTTGTCCCCAGCCATCAGTGCCAGATTATTCTGATCTCTCCTGTCATCTCTGCAGCCTTCTTGGCTTCAGCGTCTGGAAATCTCTGGCAGCATCCGCTGCGTCTTGTCAGCCGACCGGCTGGAATCATCCTCGTTCTCTGGGCACGGACTGAACTAAAACCAGACATTCCTGCTTTAGACGTCCTAGTAGGGTTGTCAAAAGTATCAATACTCAAAAAAGTATTGATACTGAAACGTTGTATCCGGATACAATACTCGTTTTTAAAAGTATCGATACAGTGCCACCACCAGTGGCACCTAAGCAGTCATTCATCTAAAGTGCAGAATAGAGGACTTTCACTTTCAGACTTTCACACTTTCAGAACACTGTGTGATTGAATAATTCTGTGCACTTTTCAGTTTCAGACTTTTTTTCTGTAACAGGTGCAGCTGCTGAGAATTATTTTTGTTTCTTAACCGGTTTGGCTAGTGTCATTGTTATGTGTGCAAAGCATAGCCAAGGAAGGAACACTTAATTTTAATTAAAATTTAAATTTAAAGTAAAATTTAAATTTAATTAAAATTTAAATTTTAATTTAATTTAAATTTTTATCAAGTTTGCTTAATATTGTGCACAGCATACAACCTCAAATTATTGTTCTTATTGTTTATTGTATGTATTTATTGTATTTTATTCATTAATGAAAATATTTCTTTAGAATTTTGGAGTCTTTGTTTTTAGTCTTGTGGTATCGAAAATGGTATCGAGTAGCGAATATTTTCCTTAGTATCGGTATCGACTTGAAAAGTTTAGTATCGTGACAACCCTACGTCCTAGCCACGGATACTGCAGATCCACAGCCTGTCATTTGAATAATTGCTTTGTTCTGAGTCATTACAAATATGTATAAATATGGCTAAAAGATAAAGTGTATAAACTCTATCACTGTGAAAAGGTGGAAATGTAGTAAATTAGTGGTTTGTCACTGCAGAAAAACAACTAAAAGTGCTGCTTACTTTCTGAACAGCGGTAATGATGACCCATATATTTGAGTAATCAGATGAACAAGAGTCCAGTTGTGACAAAGGGTAGGAGGCGTCTCTTTCTGTCACCTGTGTGAAATAAAACGGAATATTACATGAAAGTTGACACATTTGGTGGATTTATTTTAAAGTGTGAAAAAATCTACTTTTCTTGCACTGTTAAATAAGTCAAAAACATTTTAAAGCTTTAAGTCTTCAGGTCCAGCCGTGGCTCTTTTGTATGTTGCAGGTGATCATCATGACCACCTGACATATAAGTCAATTTGATAAATTACTGTTGGGTCATTATAAATCTCACCTTGGCAACGTCTCGGTCAAATTGCAAACACCTGACAGGGTCTGTAAGAGTCCAAGTGGTGAGAACCAGAATGTCCAGCAGGATCAGGAGAAACACCATGCCAATCAGCTGGATGTCTCGAATGATCTGAGGCAGGATCAGAAGTAAGAATAAAGATGAACTCTTTTCACCCGAACAGCTTCAACAAGAGGAAACTCCAACTTAAAGCATAAAAACATCTAAGAGTGATTCAACACCAGGGCAATGTGCAGCCATGCAACAGTGAGGGCAGGTTGATTCTCTTAAAAATAATTAACTATTAAAAAATAAAATATCAGAAGAGCACAAGAAAAAGACTGTTTTAGAATTAGATTCTATCTAAAAATATAAAACAAATTGAGTTATCAGGTTTTAAAAATATATTACAACAATAGTTACCGTACACATAGTATTTTTCTCTAATTGAAGCTGTGTCACAGATGTTACTATTCCTGATCTACATGCAATAAAACAAACTAAATCTTAAATTCCCAAGCTCCCCTGCAGGATCTTTTTGAAGACCTCTCTGGTCTGCTGTGTGAAGAAAAAGCCAATGTTCCTATGGTGATGCTTTATAAATAAGAAAGGAAAGAATATCCTGGATATAAGCTGCAGAAATTAGTTTTCTTCATAGGGTGGCTGGGCTATGCCATAGCGCTTATTTGCTATGATAAAATTAGCTTTAAGCGCTTACTATGCTGCAACATTATATGGGATGCAGCTACTGATTTTTTCTTTGTTTTTTTATGTTTCTGCCCTTCTCTTACAGGTTGTAATCTTTGTCAGCACCATTCATAGCAGTAGGTTGCAGATGCATTTACATTCTCACAAGGCAGAATTAGCTTAAATACTAAAACAGTAATTATTAGGACTATATTTTTAATAGAGAGTAATAAGAAGACAATAAGGTGCCTTAAGTAATACTAAGGAACATGACCAACAGCAAACTAGAAGAGCATGCCCACCACTCTCTTGTCTGGAACACGCTGAGTGAAAACTCTGTAAAGTCTCCAGGTCTTCCCCAAAATTGGTCCAAATACGAGGGTGCTTCCAACACAAAGTGTCCACATCCGAGCCTGGAGAGGAGAACACCTTAGGGATCACCTTAACATTTATATCCAAAAGTAAAAAAAGCACAGCCAAGATTTAAAACTTACTTGAAGCATAGTAACAGGCACCTCAGCTTGTGTGTGAAATGGCTCCTGGACTGCAAACAGAAAGCCGCTGATATATGTGAGGATACTTCCAAAGAGAGTCATAACGTTCAGGTTGGGACTGGACATCTTCACTATCCTGATGGAACAATGCAAGCAAAGTGAAATATCTTTTATTATAGCCGGGGTCTGTCTCTTCATAAATGTATTCTTAATCCTTATTACTCTACCTGTTGTTTTTGAAGCGCAGGGTGAATGACAGAAAGCAGAGTGCCAACAAGATGCCAGAAGACAGCATTGTCCAGACAATGGCTCTGATCACTGGAGAGAGGGTTTGCCTCGGGACCTCTGCTGCCAACTGAACAAACAAACGTGGATGTTTATTCCTAAGAAAATCCCATGAACCTCCTGCTCCTGTCATTATGGCATGCTTATATGTGTCCCAGATCCCAAGTTTCTTCAATCCATGATGCAAAAATTAAAACCAAACACGGATTCATATTAAAAGTCTGATTTTTATTGCAGGGAAATAATCATCAAGGGTTACAAAACAGGATCATAAACTGCAAATCATCAAATGGTATTAGGTTTATTGAAAAATTTGAAACATCATAAAACATAAAAGTATTGAGCAATTTAGGTGGTCAAAGGCAAGATAATAAGAGGTGCCAAGTTGACCCCACTGTGATTCCTTCGAGGGTTGAAGTAGGGGAAAAGTCTCTCAGTGAAAGTGTATCCGATGTATGTGTAAACATGGGAATGAGAGTCAGAGTTGTAAAAGGAAACCTGCCCCCCCTCCATGTCCACATACACCCCAACTGTTTGGGGCTTTTCCACTAGTGGCACTCGGACAGGAGGGCTACTGAGTGCCCAGTAGCTCCCATCCTGCCTCATCCCCAGGGTCCAGTAGCCTCGTTGAGGGTTTAGCAAATTCCCACCTTTTCTATTGACTGACTCCAGTCCTACTCCGATATCCCATTCAGTCTTTCCTTTCACCCGGACCTCGTAGTAGAACCTTCCGAAGGAAAACCCCTCCTTTCCCAGGACGCTAACACAAGGGTAAAATCTCTTTGGATTGTCAGGGAGGTTTACGGCCACATCGCTGTGATACACCTGCTTCCTGTCTTCAGAAAGCACCAATTTAGGGTGAGCCGTGTCTGGATCCAAAGTCACATCAACAGCACATGCTTTGACCCGCTTGAATTCAACCTCACAAAGTCTCTTTACCTCTGCCTTTATGGTCTCCTCAAGCTGGTTTGCAGTTTTCCTGAGTGCTCTCCTAACCATCCCCACATAAAGTGCACTTTGCACACAAACCTCAGACCAGTCTTTGACGTTTGGTTTAGTCGAGAAAGCTGGAAAACTGTGGAGAAGGTAGAGATCATCAGTCGTCTGAGAGAGCAGCTCCAAATCTATGCTTTTGTTTGTAAGCTGATCAATCTCTTGCTCAAGCTCCATCATAATACCAGTAGTCTTGCTTGTGACACACCTCTGCTTTGCTGAGATTGCCTCAACCACCTCTGTTTGGCCAGTCTGAACAACTTGCATTAGTTTGTTGAAGACTTGCAAACTCTCTTCAACCTCCTTTTCTGCATTTCTTTTACTGAGCTGAACAGCTTGACCGATCTCGCACATTTTCTGCAGCCGGCTGTGGATTCCTTCTTGCACTTCCGCGTTCATGCTCGCAATCATATCTCTCCTCTCTCTGCTTTCATGATCTATAGGAACTGTTTGATGTGCCTTGTGGTCTTTCGCAACACAGGCCTGGCACACGTACATCTGGTCAGTGTGGCAGAACAGGTTCAGGAGGCTCTTGTGCTCTTTACACAGTCTGTCCTGCATGTTCATCACAGGGTTGATAAAAGTGTGTTTCTTGAGGGTGTCTAGAACAAGATGGGGCTCCAGATGAATCTGGCAGAATGAAGCCAAACAATCCAAACAGGATTTCAAAGCTTTTACCCGTTTATCAATGCAGACATCACAAGCGACGTCTCCCTTAAAGCTGAGCTGGGCCGTACTACCAATCTCATCTTTATACTTCATTTCCCCATGCTCTTTAAATTGAGCAGCCACCTCTGATATGAAGGTGTTGACTTTGAGGTCGGGCCTCTTGTACAGCTTATGTTTACACATAGGGCATTGTGGCAGATTGGTGCTCTGCCAGTATCTCTGGATGCAGTCACGACAGAGGTTGTGCCCGCACGGAGTGGAGACCGGCTGGTTAAACACATCCAGACAGATGGGGCAAAGGAGCTGCTCCTTCGACAGAACACTGGCGGCTGTGGCCATATCTGGAAACACACCCAGAAAGAAGAGGAAAACAGGTGGGATTTTATGGAATAAGTTGGTTGGCTTTTTTTAATTTTAGTCTCAGTATGTTACTAGGCTTAAAGAAAGCGTGCGCCCTGGTTAGCCACAAACAGCAACAAACACACAGTGTTATGTTTCATCACAGGTGTCACATGTTAGCGGAAAAGTCTTCATGTTAGCTCTGCTTAACAAACAGTAGTACAGCAGAATATTTACTGAAATAGAGGATTAAATACCACAACAAAAACCACTAACAATTTGGGTCAAAATGTTGACTTGCTTCAATGCAATTATTAGCACTTAAAGCCACAAAGCATAAGTTGTTTCCAAGAGATGACTCACCTATTTTTGGTTCTTTAAAGAGTGAAAGACCCAATTGTGTTCTTTGTCAAAGTGTTTCCTCTGCTTTGTCTTTTATTTGAGAAGTCGGATTACACTTCCTTTCGTCTGCCTTATGTTGTTGGTCTGTGCTCACTCTTCTCTTTAAGGCATCGAGGACAGAGGAGATTCTAAACATAGCTTCACAAGTCCATCCCCATTACCTTTCCAGATCTCAGCTGTCTCCAGCAAGAGGAATAGTATTGCAGTTCAAGCAAACGGACAGACATAAATGCATTTATAGGAAATGTTTCACTTATGAGAAGAATAACCAAAACGTGCGGAAACAATGTACAAGAAAAAATCAAAAAGCAAAGAACTAAAAAGAGAAAGAATATAAATGTGAAAAACTACAAAT